CGTTAGTCGATCGAGCGCTCGATGACTGTTTAACATTCCGCTTCTTCGGGGGGAAAAAGGAAGGAGTAACGCGCTTTGGGAATCACCTGGTGCGGCAGCGATCGACCGGCGATGCTAGTTTTCAAACTCGTTTTCTCTCCTCTCCTTTTTCCTCCCTTCGTCCACGTCGTCCACGTCGTCGTCGCCGTCGCCGTCGCTGTCGTCGTCGTCGTCGTCGTCGTCGTCTCGTGCCTCCGCTCTTACGCGCTCACCGTGATTCCCCTACTCTTTGTCCACCCTTCACGCGACTCTCCGCGCGAACGCGGCCCGGCCTGTGTCGGTCCTTCCTCCGTGACAAGATTCGCGCGAGGTAAGCCGCGCGGTGAGGAGTACGATATTTGCGAAGGGCCGACTAACCGGGGAGAATAGTACCGACCGTAGGATGACAGCTCGCGCACAAGTAGGTCAGGTACCGGAGCAGAGTGAGAGTGAGGGTGGGGGGGAGTAGAGAGTAGGAGAATGGAGCAAGATAGATCTGTCTTTCTCTCTCTATCTCTCTCTCGGAACGAATTCTGACGTCCTCACACGCTGTTCCGGCAATTCGCGATTCCCAAGGACCCTTAATCGTTTCTTTCTCTCTCTCTCTCTCTGTCTTTCCGTTCCCTTCCCACTCCGGTCACACGAATAAAGCGTGACGAGACGTAACTCACCTTGCTGCGTACGGGGCTGAGGTAACGGCCCGTGACGATTTGAAACGGGCGCACTGAACACACTCCATGCCTCCTCTCCTGTCGAACACCAACGGCACGAGCACACCGTACACCACCCGTACGCGTATGTGTATATGTATATATGTGTGTGTGTGTACGTGTGTTACGTATATGCGTACGTGCGTGCGTGGTACGTGCGTGGAGCAACGCGGGGAGATACGCCTCGGTTTTTGGGGCTTTCACAATCAGCGGGAGGCGCGCGGACGCGCCGTCACCGGTCGGACGCAGATGGTGGGCATTGACGCGTACGAAACGCAGACGGTCACTCGGCAGAGGCGCGAAAAATCGGGAAAAACACGGGAGTACGACGGGTAGTCGCACGGTAGCACGTCGCGTCGCGAACAAACGCGACAAGCTTCTTCGAGTGTATTATATATTAATTTATTGGAATAATAATTATAAGCTATTGTCCGAGAGAGGCGAAATGCGTGAGAAATTGCCATTGCTGCGGGATAATATTATTAATTTCAGATCTCCGAGGGGATGAAAACAAAAACAATAATTTCTTATGGATATAAGGATTTGTTTTAAAAATTGCTTATATATTAAAATATTATAATTTATATATAGACGTAATATTGACTCGATATATAATTTCCAATGCATATTGATTAAAATTTTTTAATTAATATGTTTCACCAATGAATTGTACTACTCACTGTAATTAATTTAATGTCATAAATACTTCGAAGTATTCTTTGATTGATACATATCTATCAATTAAAAAATTTTTTTTTTCTAATTGGTCAGTCGAATATTTAGAATTTTAAAAGTGATTTTACGAAGTAAATAACGTATAGAAATTCACTGTAATCTATAACTGACGAATTTATTATTGGAAGATAAATAATTATTTATTTTGAGTATTTTTTGAATAGCAGTACTCTTAGTACTTAAAGTAATTATAATTATTGTCTTCCAATATTTAAATTCTCGTAAGAGCGAGATAAAATATTATTTTCAAAAGTGAGAACAGATGATAATCAAATAATGATAGGGTAAATTACCAATTACAGCATTCGCATGTAGTAGCGATTATTTTCATCATTGCGAACACTTTACAGGATACATCCGATAATTTATTGCACGTGAAATCTGTAAATAGTATTATAATAATCGTAAAAAATACCAAGCACGTCAAATACAGTTCCGTAATTCCAAATCGTTTCATGATTGACCACTGACTACAATTTGGAAAGCGATACTTCGAGAATCGCAATATCGAAGAACGGTAGTCTCGATGTATCGAAACATTTGAAGTGAATGCAAACTAACGACATATTTCGCGCTGTAATTAGATGGCTGCACTTTCGCATGAAATGAATATAAATTTAATTTAATCTGTAAGAAGAAAAAGCAAAAAAAAGTGGAAAGTGCATCTAAAATGAAAAGAGCTATTAGTACAAAAATAAAATACCAAATGCTTTTTTATGAACTGAAATATTATTACAAAAAAACACTAAATGAACCACACACAGATTATTTAACATAATGGAAAAAACAAAATTCGAAATATTATGGGACCTATTAAAAATGCCTAAAATAGCATATTAATTGCAATAATTTATTTAATATAATTTTTTATTTAAAAAAATGAAAAAAAATATCAAAACTCGTGGTAAAAATAAAATTCGAAACTTATTCATTGAGTTATTAATATATTTTCGGCAAAATATTTTTTAAATCCGTAAGTTTAACATTCAACTTTTTGACACTTGAAATATCGTTTTACGATACTTTTGAAGACATGTTCCATACATTGAAGTTCAGAACATTTAAGTTCAAGACATTCAAGATGTGTGAAAACGCACGAGTTTTACCAAAAAACTTCGCCCATTTTAGGCCACCATATAGCTAACTATTGTATATTATTTTATACATAATAATAAAAATATTAAAAATTAAGTAGTTTTAAAGCCTAAAATATCTGCAGAGAGCAATTAATCTTTTACAAATATTGACTTACTCGTTCGGTCGCTCATCATCAGAGTTATCGAAGTTTAGAAATTAAAATCTTTAGAAAGTATCAGTACATCTTCAAGATGTTTGATATATCCTAAATATTAAATGACATATGTGGGCACAGTATAGTATAGGCTACATATAGTATAGGTTAGCCTTATATGTCGTCACTATGCAATGATGGTACTTGTGCTAGCTACGAGATATCTTGAATACAGAAATCAATTTTGTGGGGAGGCGATGGATAAAAAAAATCTAGAAATATTTTTAACTACATAATAAAACCATCAGTCAACTGAAAGAATTTTGCAAAAGTAAATAGTAAAATTAATATACCTTATATACCACATTTTTTTAGAGGAGGTCCATTTATCTCAATATTGATTTTAGCCATTATATTTGTTGTGCGTATTTATGTTTTAATCTATTCTTTATTACTTTACAATGTTTGATATACAATTGATCTCATGATCGAATCATAAGTTATTGATTGTTCAGGGTAATCCAGAGTATTTAGATAATTTGTGATAAAAAGACACATGTATTGAAAATCAGATGCAATATGCATCTTTTTTCATTTAATTTACTATACTACGATAATCATCTATCATTTATTTTTTTATATATATATTTTACCTATATTAAAAGTTTTCTATATTAAAAGTGTTCGAAACATCATGGGCCACACACTAAATACTCATGAGTAAATAAAGTAATACAAATTAATATATTAGAATGGCAATTTATAAGATTAAGCAATTAATTTTATTTTACCTTTATAAGTTTTATATTTTATCCGTTCACTATAGGTTTATTTATGAATTTTTTATTCTATTAGTTATAATTATTAGTTGTATTCTCCGTTCAACGAGAGAATGACCTCGCGGATCGAAAACTCGTCCGTTTTTTTCAAGTCTTCATGTTGTACAGCGTTGCCTGCTATGCGCAAACTGAGGTCATTCCCTCATTGAACAGAGTATAGTTAAGTTTTATCATATTAAATAACTATGTTAAAATTGTGTAAGATAAATAAAATTTCTTTTCAACTTTTATCACTGTTATTTCTTGAATAAATCTACTTTTTGTGTGTGATACATAGTGCTCCATGTATGAGGCATCTTAGGTCATTTCTTAAAAAATAGGTTTTTATTTTTTCCTCAAAAATCTACATATAAAATAATCTCACCTATTATATTATAAAATGAATGAAGTTCTACAAGTACAATTATATAATAGATTATCTGACATTATAACGACATGTACCTTTCACATACAAAAGATTGGAATGCTTTATCCTTGCCGAATCCCATAATATCTGCCGATACCTCTCCAGTTATCGGCAGGTTATTTTGATAATTATGTATAATTTGTTTAAAAGATGATGATGCAGAAAAATCGGTATCCAAACGGTAACTTATCCATCTTACAGCATCCGGTGGTAATGTATTATCAATGGAATATTGTTGAGTTATTGATTTTGTTAAATTGAAGCATTGATCTGATATCTTCTTAGGATCGAAGATAATGTAATTTCTACACTTATTGAATACCTATTGTAAACATTTGAATTACACTTTTAAAGATATGTCGAATATTATCATATATAATCATATAAATATAAAATATCCTCAATTTATTACATTTTTCTGGAAAAAGTGGTGATAAAAGCCAAAAGAAGACTATTAAAGTTGTTGTAAAAATAAATATTACATTTCAAAATAAAACTAATTTTTCTCTAAAAATATAGAACATTTATGTCAATTTGTGGAGGTGCTTTGTACTTATATAGGCTATACTGTATATATATGTATATCTTTTCTATTATATCTTGCATATATATATATATATATATATATATATATCCACTTACTTCGTTATCGTCCATTTCATAATTCATATCTCCTAACAACGAAACACTCCAGCAGAAAAGGGCGCTTACTGCTATTTCGGGATACTTAACAGCGACCATTTCTTTAAACTTTTCAAAGAATATCAACAAAGTTGCTTCGAAACATTCCAATTTGTTGCACGGTTCAAGTCTACAAATTATTTCAGACGCATCGAATCGAACATTCGCATTGTCATCGACTAATAATTGCAACAACATTGTCCACCAATCCAATACGGGATCTGTAAAGAAATTTTTACATTATACTGTTATGCGAATTTAATTTCGTTGGCTATAGAAATCCTTAATTCATACGACAATATTCCAGATTGATGTCCTTTTCAAAAAGTTTATATAATATATCGAAAACTGATAATCTGAAATCTTTATCTAACAAACCAATCCATCTATTGTCACAGATTTTTCTATAAATGCCCTCTATGTATTCCATCCTGAGCTCTTTATCCTTAAAATAGACAAAAATATATCAAAAAAATTAAAAAGATATATAGATTAAAGATAAATACATGGTAAGGACACAAATAAAGAACAGAGAAATCGAAAAAAATTAATCTTAAAAATGAGTAAAATAACAAGCGAACCTTCCATTCAAAAGTTAATGTCATACATTTTCCTAGCAATCTCAAGTAATTAGCACGTTGAGAATAGATATTGCTTGTATCATCTAGACATAATTTCTTAAGAACCAAAGTACAAATTGCACGTTTGTCGATGACACAACATTCGTCTATGTCCGTCAGGCTGTTGTATAAGAAATCGAAAATTGCATCTTGTAAATTAGGATTAAATTTATATAAATCATCGGCGAAATAGAAAGCTGTGTGAAGAGCAAAAGTGCTCAATAATTCTCTTTGTAGATAAGATTTCATCTTTATTATTACTTCGAAAATAGTAATCCAAGCGATACTCTGTATCTCAGCTTCTGGAATGATCAAAAGCCGCGAATATATGTTGTATGCTGTACTATATCCATTGTACATCGTTTGCAAAAACTTTGAATTCCCTATACGAAGTATAAATTTGATTGCGGACACTTTGTACATTTGTTCGCCCGGTCCTTGTTTTAATAGGACTTTCTCGACTAAGTGCTGCTGCAGGATATGCAATATATCTTCTACATCACAACTTTCAATCCTAAAAACATGAAAAATGTGTCAGTCTGGAATGATATGGTTTCTGTGAAATTATAAAATCTGTCTTCAATGATATGATTTTCATGAAATTCTCTTTCTTACATATTTTTGTCTAAACTATGAAGAATGTCAATGTATACACTAGCTGTAGGAAAACAACTGAACACATTAGTTTTTTTTTCTAATCCTTTTAATATCCAATCTGTCGCGCGTACAAAATTTGTGACATCAGATTTTAATAGCTGCATGTGAACGAATGGCAATCTCGTCAAAATCTCTAATATCTACAATTTAATCAATTGAAAATTAATATTTTAATACGCATTTTAATATGTTTTAA